TCATTCATTATTAGGTCTTTTTGTAGTTGTAGTTGTAGTAGTAGTAGTAGTAGTAGTAGTAGCAGTAGTAGTAGTAGTAGTAGTAGTAGTAAGTTGTTGTTGTTGTTGTTGTACTACGGTCGTCGTAGTAGTAGTAGCAGTAGTAGTAGTAGCAGCAGCAGCAGCAGCAGCAGTAGTAGTAGTAGTAGTAGTACATGTAGTAAACCTCCATGGTAGTACATAGTACTCGTGATCACTACTCCCTGACCTCCCTATATTTGCTAGTGGTATCGTCCGGTGGGGTCATCAAAATGGCGGACGAGGTCAGGCAAAGTTCAGCTGCCGCCAGCTGACAGAACAAGTGTCACCACAACAAACCCAACTTGCCGTCAACTTTTATATGTACTTCTGTGCACAACATGCCGTTCAAGCCTCTCTCCAAGCACTGGCTGGAGGCTGCTACGGTGATTCTAGCGGCGGGGGCTCAGAGAAACGGGCGGGCGGGGACGGCATCGGGCCCGCCGGCGGGTCCACCATGCCCCGGCCCCGGCCGGTTCGACTACCGGGTCCTGATGCTACAGCGTAGCGGGAAGAGCGGCTTCATGCCCAACGCCAAGGTGTGTGACAGTGTTAGGGTTTATAGTAGGCTCCGTAGCAGGCTTATAGAACTGGGGGTTTGGTGGTCTTCGGCTGTTTTCTGATTAGCCTCCGTAGCAGGCTTATAGAAGTGGGGGTTCGGTGGTCTTCGGCTGTTTTCTGATTAGCCTCCGTAGCAGGCTTATAGAACTGGGGATTTGGTGGTCTTCGGCTGTTTTCTGATTTTTTTATTTGTATTCATTAGCTCGGAGTTTTAAAAATGGGGGTAACTCAACCAGGCCGGCTATATGCAATCAGAAAATAGCACATAAAGAATCCTGAAGACCCCCCAAAACCCCAGTTTTTGGCATGCTATGGATTCATGGTTTTATAGGCACTACCAAGGACGTTCAACGTTGAACGTCCTTGGCACTACCAACTGACCCGCTCGATGGGTCTAGATCTTGACCTTTTAGCCGATTCCGTAGGAGCGTCGGGTTTGAAGCTGGTGCTCGGGAGGTCGTGGGTTCGAACCCCGGGACCAGGTTTTTTTTTAATCTCCAAGCAGATCTTTTGGTGGGGGTAAGACAGTGCCAAATTGGCCAGTCTGCAACCATTTCCCCACCCAAGATCTGCCTGCAGTCGAAACGCCAAACGCTATTAACACCTAGTTGTTGCCTGATCAAAATCAGAAATGGGTGGGGAAATGGTTACAGACTGGTCAATTTGATACTGTCTTACCCCCACCGAAATATCTGCTTGGAGATTAGGGTTTTTATTTATTTATTTATTCAATCCAACAAACTCGTACAAAAGCAGGGAATGCTAATGCACCCCTGAATTCGATTTTTACAATTTGTTAAAAAAAAAGAAGACAGGACAGGTACACAGAAACACACTATATACAAATATGTACAAACACCATTCACTCTACAACAGGAGATAGCAGATATAGGTTTTCAAATATCAGCCATTGTCACTGTCATTGTAGAGTCTCACTGCACAATGTAAGAAAGACTTTTTCAGGCGTAGAGTCCTAGCCTTAGGCAAAGTGAACATGTCTCTGTTCCTGAGCTGTCTCCCTGTAGCAGTCGCACGTTCAGGGGGAACAAGGTCGTGCAGAGGGTGATCAGGGTTCAGCATAGCTTTGAAGAGATTTGCTGCTGCTGACTCCCTTCTTTCCTTCAGGGTAGTTTTTGTCTGTTTCTACTCGCTCCTGTTTCTTACAGGTGTTCCCTGGCGGTGTCGTGGACGCCTCAGACTTCTCCGAGAAGTGGCTGGACGTCTTCAAGGCGGCGGGATTCGAAACGGACTTCGAGTTTGAGAAACTCTGTCGGGTCGAAGTCCACGAAGGCCGATCCCCAATGTTTACAGGGCAGAGGGACTCGCCCGTTCCGAACGAGGTCGGTTGTTGTTACCTAGCTTAGAAGATTATGTTTTGGTAACGCATGCATATGTATGTATCACAGTGCAGGGCTGGAAATACTGGGTGCATGAGCACCTTAGTGCACCCAAAGTTGGAGCTGTGCACCCAAATATTTTCATAGGTTTAGGTATGTTAAGAATTTAAGATGTTATGGTGACATTCTACCTATTTTATCTTATATGGTGCTCCCCACAAAATTTTGGTGCACCCAATTTTTTTCGATCCCTGCAGTATGTATGCATCTTTGCTAAGCACGATAACTTGAGAACCTATGCAGGAAATTTATTGTCATGAAACTTGGTACAGCATATATACATGTAGATGGGGTGGGGGGGGGGTCAGAGGTGGTTGGTCCTGATAAGACCTCGAAATGATTTCTGGCTCCCTAGCATGCAGCTTGTTAATGTTACCTTCGCCAAGAAGGTTATATTTTCAGAGGCGTTCGTGTGTGTGTGTGTGTGTGTGTGCGTGTCCGTCTGTGGACACGATAACTTGAGAAGGCTTAAATGTGTTGTCGTTAAACTTGGTAGGTCTCGATGAGACCTGAAAATGCTTAGATTTCTGGCTCCCTAGCAGCTGGCTATGGTACTGCACTGGAAGTTCCTTCTTTTACGTTTGTTACGTCTAGACGTGGTCTCTAGGTGCTGTGCATGTGTTTTAGGTACCTGTTCATGATAGCTGACTCTCTAGGTTTTGACCGTTGATGATTTGTAATTTTGTACAGGTCGGGTACAGAATAAGCGCCATTCGTGAGACTTTCGAGGAGTCTGGGGTCAATGGTAATGGTACTGCATTGGAAGTTCCTTTTTTTTCTTACGTCTGTGGTCTCTAGGTGCTGGGTTTCAAAAGGTACCAGTTCATGATAGCTGACTTTTTAGGTTTTGACCCTTGTCCAGGTCGGGTACAGAATAAGCGCCATTCGTGAGACTTTTGAGGAGTCCGGGGTTCTTCTGGTGCGGCCCTGGAGGGCCAGTGGGCCGGCGACGTGGCCCCTTCCGGCGTCTGAGCTGGCCCGCTGGAGAAAACGCGTGGACGGGGACGCAAGGCAGTTCCTACAGCTCTGCAACGAATGCAGGTAAAACTTAAAATATATATGCTACAGCAGTTAACAGCCCGCATGAAATTATATATGTATATTAACTAGAAATGTAAGATTTGCTAAGCAAATGCATAATGTTTACCTATATGGTCTGCTTTGTTACTTCTTACTCAAAAGCATTCACATATATTATTACAGGAGTCTAAATCCCTCCTGCTATAAAATTGCAGGATGATGTAACCTAACACTAGTTACCATGGTGACAGACGTTCGTATCAGGTCATTGACCTTATTTCTTTGGAGAAGAAGAGGAAGAAGAAACAAAGCAAAAACAATATATTTTCTTTCTGCGAACGTAAACATAACAATGTTACTTTAAACAACAGTTGACGGTTTGTATTAAATCATAATGCATAATTAACTAGAAAGGTAACATTTGAAAAGTAAACGCATAATGTTTACCTTCGCACATGGTCTGCTCTGTTAATTCTCAAATACATTCATATATATATATGGTCAGACAGGAGTCTAAATCCCTCCTACTATAAGATTGCAACATGATATAACACACCAGTTACCATGGCGACAGACGTCAACAAATCAGGTTATTGGCCAGGTCAAAGGTTAGTGTTTGGAGAAGAAGAGGAAGAAACTGAGCAAAAACAATATGTTTCCTTCGGTAAACATAAAAACAAGTATGTGATTCTATATTGATATCTTGATATAATGCCATAGGTGTGTCCCTGACGTTTGGTCCCTACACGAATGGTCCAACTGGCTGACGCCTGCTATACCGGGCATGCCCAACAGGCGGCGCTACGACACCGCGTTCTTCATCTGTTGTCTGGACCACATCCCTCCCGCCGCACGGGACGACCGGGAGATCGTCAAGGCACAGGTGAGTCGGTAGATGTAGCTACCTGTCGTAGCCTGGGAGCCAGACTATTCATAGGGTATACATAGGCTACCTCCTTGTCTCCAGGGCCTACACAGGCCAGCCCCTCGGCTCCAGGGTCTACACAGGCCAGCTCTTCTGCTCCAGGGCCCACACAGGCCAGCTCCTCGGCTCCAGGGTCTATACAGGCCAGCTCCTCGGCTCCAGGGCCTACACAGGCCAGCTCCTCCGCTCCAGGGTCCACACAGGCCAGCTCCTCGGCTCCAGGGCCTACACAGGCCAGCCCCTCGGCTCCAGGGCCTACACAGGCCAGCTCCTCGGCTCCAGGGCCTACACAGGCCAGCTACTTGGCTCCAGGGCTCACACCAATTACATAAATGTACTAGTAAATATACAATAGTAAATATCTATTCATAGCATGGCCTCTTGGCTTTGTTCTCTATTGCAGTGGCTCACACCCGCCGAAGTCTTGCACGATTTCCGACATGGAAAACACATCATTCCACCCCCGCAAGTGTATGAACTCTCCCGCCTGTGCCAGCTGCCGAGTCTGGTGGACCTGAACCACTTCAGCAGGGAGAGGGGTGCGCAGGGTTGCGAGAGGTGGCTACCCGTGGTTTTTCCATGTGAAGATGGACAAGTTTCTGCTCTACCCGGTACGTTGTTTGTTTGTTTGTTTTGCATGCCAGGTAAACGTTCTCCAAGTGCAACACACCAATACAAGCTGCGTAAGAAAAGACTCAACCGCGACGGGGGCCGACATTGTCTACCAGATACATTTGACCCAGTGTTGACTGGTCGAAAGCTCTCGGTGAGATATATAACTTTTTTGGTTGGATGAAAAGTTTTAATTTTGAATAAACATTATGCCGTATTGTTTCCGGCCCAGGTGATGACCTGTACCCGACCCGTGATGACCCGGAAGTGCTTCAGGGCCGTCACCTCTCCAGCACCGTCGCAGAACTTCGGCAGTCCGCCAGCCGACTCCACAGGTCCGAGATTTTTTATTTATTTATTTTTTTTTTAATTTTTTTTTTACATCTGTTTATTGAAATCATGGAGACAAGTACAAGTACATATACATACACAACTACTTTTTACAAAAACTTTTACAGCCATATCCCCAAACTACACGGAACAATCTCAAAGACAATTAAAGATGATGCCTAAATCACTTAGACACAACAGGTCTTTAGACTGCCATAGATGTCACAGATGAAGTTTCTTCACATTGTTGTAGGTCCGAGATCCTGCCGGGCTCCGGGTTGCCGGCGTGGGAAACCCGCTGTAACATCCCGCCCAAGTTCGGACACATCTCTCCTATGCAGGACGTCTTTCAGTTCGTGGAAAGGATTCAGAGCAAACTTTAGCCTCTATCAGGTCCTCAGATGCTTAAAATTGTAGAAATTAGCCCAAATAGACTGAATATCATACCGGAAGATTACAATTTTTAAACCTTTGACTGCAACACACCTGTGTGAATATCCGCGAAGTCGATGTACATTGAGCTTGGCAAAATGTAACAGAATATTCAGTGGTTTTTCAGTGTTTTTTCCAATTTTTCACCGTTCGTTCAAAACCCAATTTTCCAGCGTTCAAAACCAAATTTTTCAGCGTTCAAAACCCAATTTGCAGCGTTCAAAACCCAATTTTTCAACGTTCAAAACCCACTTTTTCAGCGTTCAAAACCCAATTTCTAACCGTTCAAAACCCAACTTTTCACCGTTCAAAACCCAATTTCTAACCGTTCAAAACCCAATTTTTCACCGCTCGAAAACTTTTCAACGTAGAATAAACGTTAATTTCGAGGCCTGCGTCCGTGCCGCGCGCCGAGATTCATTCGGCGATAAATATTTGATGTGCAAAGTCTGCGGCGCTACGCCGGGCTGTTGACTGGCCAAACGCTCGCCATTAAGTTTATGGTTTTCTAATCATAGCTGCGCGCTGGCGGCGGTAAGCGGCGGTACCGGGGATCGATCGGAGCGGGAGATAAGCGTTAATGGGCGGCGGGACGGCCCGGGAAATGAGATTGCCTCGTTCCGCGACTTTCCGCTTAATCCGCTTCAGCGGCGCCAAATCCGCCCTGATACGCCCCGCCGGAGAGGGGGTGG